TTTTCTCGTTTTGTGTTAGATATATACATATCGAAAATATTTTTTACTTGTTGCCGCAAGAATTTTTTAAAAATAAATTTTTTATTTATGTTATATGCGGTACACAAGTAAAAAAAAAATTCTAAAAATATATGTACATATCTAACACAAAACGAGAAAACTAGTAAAAAAAAAAAAAAATTAGGAGCGGAGGGTTAAATAGGATGGGTAGAATTTTTATTTTTTTAAAAAATAAAATAATATCAATTTTTTTGGGAGAATGAGTGGGTGGTTTGGGGTGGGGGAGAGGGTGAAGTATGAATTTTTTAAAAATATTTTTTACAAGATTTTTTTTTTTAAAAAAAAGGACGGGGAATTGTCCGGGGGGAGGGGATACGGAGGTGAGGTGGTGGAGTGGGGTAAGAAAAATAATTTAAATTTTATTTTTTTAAAAATATTATTTTTGGGATAGTAATACTTTAATCTTTAATTAATATTAATAGTTTATTATTTAATTTTTGTCAAGGTGGAATATTTTATCCATGTGAAATGTCATGTGTCAAGGTTTTTCAAATAAAAGAGAGCGCATCACACACACCACTGAAGTGTGTATCTCAAACTAATAAGTGATAGTTTAGGTATAAAACTCACCCTCACTCTCAATAGTTTAGGTATGAAACTCAAAAAAAAGGGATAGTTTAGGTGTGTTTTTGACATTTATCTCTAATCGCAAAGGAAACGAGGTAAGTTAAAAGAAATCAAATTTGAAGGGTGATTTTTGTAAGTATTGCTTTATTTTTCTCTCTTTTTTTTCTAGCTATAATGACTCTGTAGATAAACTCTCTGACTTAACGAGGTTTATTTTATAAAAGAAAATATATTTCATCTGGTCCAATTTGTGGAACAGTTCGGATTTTGAAAGTCAAAAAGTTTAATTTTGACCGTACATTTAAACATGAAATTTTAAAAAATAAAATATACATATTCCAACACTATATAAAAAGTACGTATAGGTCACAATATTTAATAATTCAAGAATATAGGAAAGAGTTTACGAACAAAGATATACTAATTTGAATTTTTGAAATTAAAGAAGTGCAACACAAAATGAGGTGAAGAAAAATAAGTAATGTTTGGTAAGGAATTTATTATAATTGAATGACCATTTAAATAATTATGTTTGGTAAAGAATTTATTATAATTGAATGACCATTTAAATAATTTACTTGTAATAACGACCATAAAGGAGGTAGAGATTTATGTAATTATTGCTTTAGTTTTTTTTTTTGCAGTTTTTTTGCAGTTTTTTTTTATAGCTATAATGACTCTTAGTTAAACTAGTACTAACGTACTATGACTTGAGGGTTTTATTGATACAAGATAGTAACACATTCGTCAGGGCGAATGCTTTGTCGGTGGGATTTTTTGACGTGAATTCGAATTTAATTAAACTAGTCCTATATGGATATTGTCACCGGATGAAAAATAAAATTAATTTACTTGGAATAAGGACCACGGTAAAGAAGAATATTTATGTTTATGTTTAAAAACATGGCAAGGAATTTGAGAGTCAATATACACAATCAAACATGATGAGGACGAAGTGTTTATTTTTGTTATGACTGTGTTTGGTTCCCTATGTGGTGTTTTCATCAACTTTCACTTCCCAAAATCCCATTGACCTACCCAGTGCTCCGGTACTAGACACGAACGGTAAAGAAGTTGATCC